ACCGGACCTCCTGGAATGCCCTGGTGAGACTGCTCTCCTGCTGCAGCAGTGGGGGCAGGCTGGCTCGCAGGAGTCACTGTGAGGGGGGATACCCCAGAAGGATTCCAAGGCAGGGTACTTGGGGTTTTGTAGATAAAGAACCTTCTCCTGGGCTTTCCCTCAGTGCTGGGTGCTGCCAGTTATTTTACATGTTTTAATGCTTCATTTTAGACAAAGACCTGCCGTGTCCCTTCCAGTTCCCTGCTTTTTATTTGGGAAGCTCCTTTTTCTCCACCTCCTCTGAGATGTGAGCTGATGCCCACAGGTTTACTGTTGCTTTCCAATATATCAATGTGATCTTTCCTTCCCTTCAGATGCACCTCAGGTTCAGTGCATAAAGACTTACAAGGCTCGGGAAAACGATGAGCTGGCTTTGGAGAAGGCAGATATCATCATGGTTATGCAGTACAGCAATGATGGTGAGCAGAATGAACAGTGGCTGTCTTAAACTGTAGGATTGAGAGGAGAGAGGGATTCTTCATCTTCTTCAGGATGCTTTATTTGGAAGCTGAAAGGGGATCTTTTCCTTTGCTCTTAGGGTCTGTTTAGAGGGGGCTTTTTTATGGGAAACAATGACAAAAATATATTACTTTTGCCTCACGTTGTGCTTTTCCCCACACCGCAGGGTGGATAGAAGGAGTAAAACTCTCAGACCGGGAGAGAGGCTGGTTCCCCTCAGAACACGTGGAAAACATCTCCAGCAAACACGTGCGGCAGAAGAACCTGAAGGAGGAGCAACGGGTGAAGAATGCCAAGCAGCAGGTTTTCTGCAAGAAATAAGACTCTGTTTGGACCTGTACAGTCTCCCTGCCATGGGGATGCCATGGCTTTTCTATCGTGCCTCAGAAGAAATGCCTCTGCGAAGAGCATAATACACAGCACTTTGACAGGACTAGGTGCTTTTTGCCAAAGAAAGCAGGAATTCAATCAGGAAAAACTTCCTCTGTGTCAACAGGACTACTGCAGCAAGAGGAGGGATAAAGATTGCATGTATTGCTTGCTTTGTGGTAGTAGGGAGGGACTTAAATCAGAGAGAGGTCTGAGGTCTGGACTTCTGAAAAGATATTCCTGGTTTTGCTACTGACAAGTTGCGGGACCTTATGCAAGTCACTTCAGAGTTCTGCCTCAGTTTTGCCATCTGCAAAATGGGGGTAAACTTACCTACCTCACTGCATGTTGTGAGGCTAAATTCATTAGTATTAGCAGCCTGAGAGCTTCAAGTTCTAGAGAAGGAAGGTGCTAAGTGCAAAGCACAACAGAGCTGAGGAGAATATTCCGTTTGAATATCCTCTGGATACCTTCATGGCATTTGATCTCCATAGTGTAATTTCCACGTAGGGCAATTTATGTATTAGATCATGCAAATCTACTGGGGTTTAGATAGGCAAATATTTCATTGTACCCAAATGCTGTTAAGAGTCCTTGATAGCATTACAAAATCTGTTGGAATTAAGCAGAGTTTTCAGAAGCCACTGCGATGGTTTTCCCCACATAAGAGGTATCATGCTGAGGAATCTGCTTCACAAAGGTCACTTCTCTTCTGAACAAGCATCCCACCAAGCCATCTGAACTGACTTTTTTTTTTTTTTTTTTTACTCTGCCTCTCCCTGGAAGATCAGTGACTTTTGACAAAGATTTATATTTCGTGTTGGTACACGCCCCATACAGAATAACCAGGACTAGGCACATGCAATGAAGTGGCACTTTACTGCTGCTCTTACTCTGATTGCTGATGTGGTATTGCATGCACCATTTTGCACACTTATGGAGAACACAGATATTTAGCCGCTGTAGATAAAGTCAAAGTATGCAGCAGGGTCTTTGTTCTTTTTAAGGACTCCTCTGGTTTTAAGTCCAGTTTACATGCAAAACCTGTCTGTTTGAGGATATTCCTTCAACTGTAAAATACTGTTTCTGTGTTAAAGTGTTTAGCTCAGTCAATGCAAGATCAAGTTTAACAATCAATACACCAAAGAAAGCCACGTGTAGCCTCTTGCATTTAATATATTTGAAGAATTAGTTTCCTTTGTATTTCCAGCTTTCTGTATTTGTAACATTCTGCCTTTAAAACCCATTTACATTGTATCTAGAATAGTTTATTATGGCCTATTTATATCAATAATTTTAGCTGGATTAAAAGAAAAAAAGTTGCTTTTAGTCCTAATAAACTCATGCACTTCTCCAGTTAAAAAGCTTTCTGCTTGCCTTGCTACTTAGGTTTTCCTATCAAATGTAAGTAATTCAATTTACTGAATATACATGCAGTATTTTTTTGCTAAAATTTTCCTTTCTAAGAGACTTAAGTACAAACAGTGAGGAAAGCTGGGTTTATCCAGCCTTAAGGTTCTTCAGTATTATCCCCAGCCCTAAAGAGCTGATGCTGCAGCTCTTCCACAGTGGTGTTAGTCATCCATTACTGAAGGTAAGCTGAAGGGATGAGAGCAGAAAGACAGGACCCAGTCATTCAACTTTTAATCTATGGTCAGACAACAATCTGCTAACACTTTTTTTTTCCAGAAGGACTGGAGCTGGTCCTGAGCTAAGAGCCAAAGCAGAGCTCTACCTCAGACTCGCACAAGAAGGGTTATAATCCTCCACAAGACCCAGAATATTCATATATCCCAAATGCCTGCTTGTCCCAGGCTGTCATGAATTTATGCAGTTCCCAGTCCCCAGGATTGTCAGTGTCTCAGGTGGGACATGGGATCAGTTCAGCATGTCTGTGTAAGGTCATCTCACACATCCACTTCAGCTTCTTCCAGGAGGAGCTAGCCATACACATATATCCCCATTCTAAATTGGAAGTCATCTGTTCAACACCTCAGCAGGCAGGAAGATTGTTCATTAGAGCCTCCCATACAGAATTAGGCATGTATTCATGCCTAATTATGCTTAGCATAATTAAGCATTAACATATGCTTAATTCTGTATGTTGTTAAAATTCCACTTCAAGGGTACTGTTGTCACGATTGACAGCACTCCTAGACTCTTTATAACTAGTTGGATCAAAGGTTAACTTGTCCCCATCACAGGTACAGCCTTTATTTCCTGATGCCAGGCCTTTGTATGTTGAGGAGCATTTAAAGTTCAGCTTACACTTCTAAGAACAAGTGCTTAAACCCCAGGTTACTTTGATTTCTTACATTTCAGGCAGGCTTCAACTTCTCACTATTTAGTTAAACTTTTAGCCCCAGCACCATCCTTTCACCAAAATCCATAAACAAATCTACACTGAAGTGCTTTTTGAAATGGATTGACTGTCTTTTGATTTGTACAAACTTAATCAAACTAGTACAATATCCCTCCCAATTGCACATTCACAATACAGGAATCAAGTTAGTGGAGCGCCTACTGTGTCACAATGTCTCCCCACATTATCTAATGTGGATTACCTGATCTACCAGAAAATCAGTATTAAACAGAAGCATAGGGTATGTCATGCAAAGCCCAACACTTTCCTGCTATTCGCAATGTATGTATGGCTCAAAAAGCCCCCAAAAACTCCTAGTGCTGGAGAAATGTGTTAGTCCCTGCTCAAGTAAAATAAATGAAAGCATTCTCCACAGTTATTATTTTCACAAAAAACTGTGGTATTAGGACCAGAGTTCTGTGAAGAAACACAACCTTCCTCAGAAACAACTTTTAAAGCAGATAGTGATTTTTGTATTTGCATTTTTTTCTAATATTGAAGAGGTCCCATGACCCTCCAAGATGTGTCTTGTCAGCTGAATCTTGTTAACAAATTAAATGCCATTTTAGCACCAACTTCTTGCAGCTGGTGGCTGAACCAGGTGCACTGTTAGACCAATTACCCTGGCTCCAAAATGTTGGCACAGATCTTTCAGCTTACACTTGTTTAACCTGATGAAATGACTCTTGGTGAAAGCATGTGCAGAAGCAAGGCCTTAGAAGCCAAAAGTGAACCTTGAAATAAGGACAGGAATTTTGAGTCCGGAGGAGAACAGTGCTATGCCAGCAACATGATGATGAGCCAATAAACGGGAGGAGGATGAAGGATGTTCTGTTTTGGTGCATCAGAACACCAGTCTCATTCTTCATTGCAAACACTGCCGGCTGCTGTTCTCTTAGGAGTCTACTTTTTACTAAGAATTGTTAAGCATTGAAAGGACACAAATTACAGCACCCAGAAGTCAGGATGTGCCATTTGCTCCTTGCAGGCCCAGCTGCTGAAGAACCAGAAGCTGCTGACACCTAAAACAAATGTCTTGCTGCCAGGCCACAGGAAAAGAGCAGAATCACAGAATTCTCAGGGCTGGGGGGCATCTCTAGAGATGGTCTAGTCAGGCTCATCCAGAGCAGGTACTCCAGATAAGTTTGGAATGTCCTCAGAGAGGGAGACTCCATTCCCACCCTAGGCAGCTGTTCGGTGCCCTGACATTCTCTATGCAATAAAGGTCTTATTCATGTTAAAATTAAACTTTTTGTGGTTTAGCTCATGGCTATTGCTCCTCGTCTTGTCGCTGGCCATCACTGAAGAGTCTGGCACCATCCTCATGCTACCCATTAAAGATTATTTATGAGATATGTCTCATAATATTAATCTCAATATATTTAATGAGATATATATATATATATATATATAAAATCTCATTATATTTATGAGATGCCCTCTCAGTCTCCCGCAGCCAGAACAGACCCTGCCCCTGCAGCCTCTCCCTGTAACGTTGCAGACCCTTCAGCATCTTTGCTTCCTTTCGCTGGACCCTGTCCATCAGCTCCTTGTACTGAGGAGCCCAGAACTGGGTCTAGCATCCTGACACCGAGGTCCCCTCACGCAGGGGTGACGAGTTTCACAACACCAAGGCGCACACGGCCGCGTCTCAGCCCCTCACGGGCGGCCGCCCCGCCGTGCCCAGGTGCCCCTGATGAGGCGGCCGGGGCCGGGCAGCTCGGGCGGCCGGGCGGGGCATTAACCGGGCCGGGCCGGGCCGGGCCGCGGCATGGACGGGGCGGCCGAGGAGCGGCGGGCGGCCGGCGGGCTCGGCGCGGGCGGCGGTAAGGGCGTGCGGGAGGGATGCCGGCTCGTCTTAATGACCGGGGGGAGGCACCCGGCAATGAGCCTAATGAGCAGCCCTGGGGGAGGGTAAGCTGGGCGCTCATCAGCCTTCCTCGTCCTGGGCCTCGTGTCCCCGACTTGCGAAAGCACCTGGCCGGGGGCAGGGGGTTTTTCCTTTGTGTCTCGCCGAGCATCTCCCGCTGCCTCGGGGTTTCGCGTTCGCACCTTGCCCCGCTGCGCAGTTTGCCCCTCCTTGTGTGCCGGACCTCTGAGGCTGTTCCTTTCCCCCTGTTCTTTCCCATTTGTGTGTTCAGGTGGCTTTGTACCAAATGCCCCAAACAACCCGAAAAACCTTTGGTTTTTTCCGAGGAATGTCTAAGGCGGTGGCTGTGCGATGGAAAAGGGGGCTTGGCTTGCTGCAAGTGTGCCAGGTGTTCCAGAATACTTATTCCTGATGTTCCCACTCGTTAAAGGCACTTCTGTTTAACGTTCTGTTTCTCTAAAAGTGGGACAAAGTTATGCTCGGTCTGGTCTCTCAATGATGGGAGGAAGGTGTGGTTTTATAAGTCCCTTTGTTACCAGGAAGGCCCATCTTTCTCTCCAGACTTGGTTTTCATTTCGGCGCTTTTCCTTGGCAGTCCCAAATGGCTGGGAGGTCTTTGCTATCTGTTCTAGAATTAAAACACAGCCGTTTACTTTCACTTGGAGGACTATTTCTGTAAATAATACTAAACTCCCAGGTGTCCATTTCTTCTATAGATACAAGGTACCCACGTAAGAGTTGGACACTTATTTTGTGGTGTAAACACATACTGGGGTTTGCATAGAAACAAGTAAAAACTCTGCTCAAATGATGTGAAAATACTCTATTTTCTCACATAATGAGCGAGATAAGCTCAGATGCAACCAGGAGGATGGTGGAAAAAGGAATTATATAGACCCTAGACATCTTCTTCCTCATTCAGTTCTTGACCCTCCCCATCAGGATATCTCATCTCATTTAACTGCAATGGAAACTTGTTGCTGCTTAACAAGATCAAATTATTATAGCTGCATAGTTTTCTGCTTCTGTTTCTTTCTCCTGCAGCTAATTTGGTTCTCCTATAAAAAGCAAATTAGATGCTCTCAGAGCAGCCTGCCATCCCCTCATACTTCTGTGAAGTTTCTCTTGTCTATTTGGAATTGTGGTGCTCCTCTTTGATTGACAGTTTTTTCAGAGACATCAAGGCAGAAGCAAATCCTTTATTTTGACATTGCACCAATATATATCAAAAGCAGAGCACAGTGAAATGAAATTATTTTTATATTTTCCCCAAAAAATTAGACTATCAAGTTTCTCTGTTGTCATCTGCTACTGAAATGCTGCCAACAGTCTGCTCAAAATACGTGGGTTTGGGTTTATTATTCTACTTCTTATTCCTATGAAATAATCACTTTTAAAAAAAAATTAAGTAGCAGAAATGACACAGACTCACACATTCTGAACCACTCGGGAGATTTTTGGAACTTTTTATTTGGAAATGTATGTGCCAGCTGGGAAAGTGTAAGGTATTATTCTGTTGTCTATTTTAATTATTTCTCTTGCTGTGTTCTTTCTAAACTGTCTTCTACTATTTAGTCTATCTTATTATAACACGGTTTGTGGTCTTTGTTAAACTTAGTTGAACTTCTGTACCTAATTTTGTCTTTATCCCCCTATCTTGTAAATATGTTATTCAGAAGTGTGGCTGAAGCTGCAGAGAAATAATTTAAGGCAGTTATTAGAAGTTTGTACAATTAATGGTTTTTGGCTTGGCCAGCTTTGGTATGATAGAACTCTACAAAAGTAAAAAAGTGATGACCTTTGTCAGATAATCCCTGCTGACACAGTAGATCAGAATTTTGCTTCTGTCTTTCTTTTGCTCATTTTAATAAGGTGACAGGATCTTGTCAGGTTTTTTTTTTTTTTTTTTTTTTTTTTTTTTTTTTTTTTTTTTTTTTTTTTTTTTTTTTCTGTTTTTGTTTTGTTCTGTTCTGTTGTTTATTCCAGAGACCTGTATGATCCCTGAGGCTGTTTTCTCACTACTGTATTTGTAATATGCAAGCTTCCCTTTATTCTCTGTGTCTGGAATGACCCTCTTCTGTACTTTATAGTTTACTTTTAAAATGAGGCTTTTCTCATCACACATTTGAGTATCTCCATATTGATCATATCAGGTTCTTTGCTGTTGCTTTTCTGGCAGCACCTGTCTTTATTTTGAGTTCTCAGGTTCTTGTCGCTGTTGGGTTTTGTTTTTTTGTGGGCTTTTCCTTCCCCTATAACTGAAACTCCCAGGCACATCCAGCTTAGGCAGTGGACATGTGGGGTAGGGTTTGGGTTTTTTTTCCTCCCGTTTTTGCCTTGCAGAGTGCCAGGATGAGAAGGAGAACATGCTGCTGAATCCAGAGCACCTTGTGGTGGATGCTGATGCTGTTGGTGATCATGGTGCAGGGAGCAGTGTGCTACCTGCATTCCCAGGCACAGTCAGACAAGAAATAGCTGAGGATAACTTGGGAATAGAAGACGGGAATAGCTCTGTAAAGAAGGTGGAAGATGATGGGGGATGCAGCACCCTGCAGGCAACTGGGTCATCTTCCAAAGGCTCTGTTGTCCTTGACGGCCAGCACGACTTTGCCTCGGCGTGTGAGCAACCATCGGATTTCTGCAGTGACACGAAGGTTGGATTAGCACAGGAGCCCACAGGTCAGTCAGGGTCACGAGAGCACTCTGAGATGTGCTGCCCTGCTGGGACTGAAACGGAGGAGAAGAAGGAAAAATCTAAGCAAGCATCCAGTGGAGTGGCTGGAGCTCCCTGCAGGCAGGAGGAGATCGGCCTGGCCCCTCACCAATCCAAAGGTGCTCCAGGCAGCGCTGCAGCTCAGAATTCCTACAAGGGCTCTTCAGTCCTGGGGTGCAGAGGCAGCTGTGATGTGGCCAAGGGGAAAAACTCCTTACCTGTCAAGAAGAAATCCCGCACCTTCTATAGTGCAGGTAGATCCCAGGGCACACACTGGCACACAGTTACATTGGCAGTGCCAGTGGCACTTGGTGTTCCCTTCCCAGTGCTGATCTGCTCTAACTGGTATTTCACTGCACTCCATACCATTAGGTGTGTGAAGAATTCCACTTACAAAGGCTGCTGAGTGCCTTTCATTTGAAGCATCACTAGCAATGCTCTTTGCTTTTGAAACAGCTGAAGATTTTTGTTGTTTATTTTTAAAAAATAATTTTTTATTCATGTATTTCAAGTATAGTAAAAATGTTCTTTTTTTTTTCTGTTTCCCTCTCTTTTTAATTTTTTTTCTTATTTTCTTGTCACATACTTCCCTTTTCTCTCTCTCTATGGATAATGCATCATTCCCAGAGCAACTAGGAGAGCTGGAGAAGATGTTCCAGGAAGACCACTATCCTGACAATGAGAAGAGGAGAGAGATTGCAGCTGTGGTTGGTGTGACACCACAGCGTATCCTGGTAATGCCTGTTGGGATGGGAAGGGGATGGGCAGGGACTGGGACATGTCAGTGTCCCCATGTCTAGATAGTTCCTTCCCTGAATACATTCCTTTCTTCCCATTTTTCAGGTCTGGTTTCAGAATCGCAGAGCAAAGTGGCGGAAATTGCAGAAGTTGAGTATAAAAGGCAACAGAAAATATCCAGCATCATCAACTCAGTCAGTCTCCTTTGGATCAGAGGGCTATGGGTAAGGAACTTACTCTGTTTTCTCATTTTTCCACAACTGACCTAAGAAATGAAATATTTTCTTTTGCCATTTCCCCTTCACCTTTTAACAGTGAACAGCTGAGCATTGAGTTGGACCTAGGCAACCTGTCAGATTTCTGGGCAAATTGTGATGGACCCTCTTAAAAGTCCTTGTGATTAGCTTGTAACACAGATTAATCAAATTAATTTTGAAATAAAACAATTGAAATTGCTCTGGATGAAATAATGTAAAGAGCAAGAGGTGAGATGGAAAAATTTACGGAATCATCTCTTCATTTTTAGTTTCTGTGAATGCATCAGCCAGGTGCTTTTGTTGTCCTTGGGGATTCTTTTAACCCAGTTCTCCCACCACTACTTTCCATTTCCATGAATTTTCACTTGGTGATGGAAATGCTGCTTGCTTAGATCAGTCTTAGAAAGCCACGGACTTCTTTGAAGAAATACAAAGTAGCACTTTTCATATGTGAGCAGAGGACATTAATGGGGGGAAAGGGAATGTGTAAGAGGGTAGATGGTCTTTCAGGGGATGGTGAATGTGTGAGGGGAGAAATCAATCTCCACAGGGATGTATTTGTGGCAATCTGGAGTCTCTTACGAAGAAAACAGAATGGAAAGAGGAAAAATTAAGTGGAAGAGGAAAAATTAAAGTGGAAGATTGGAGAGCACCCTACTTCATTGCACTGTTCCTGCTGCCTCTCCTATTCAAGTGACCTGGGGCTGTTTCCCCAAAATTTTTGATACAGCACTCCTTGCACTTGTAGTCAGCCAGTGCTTTCCCTTTGCACCTGCTGGTGATGTAGGATCTGCCCCTTGTCAGATAGAGGAATGCATGACTGATCATAATGCCCTGTCTTGTCCTCTTTGTCTGCTGCAGGGCACCTCCTCTGCCTGTGCCTCCACTGCCCGACGCTGCTGGAGACCAGCCTGGCGTGCTGGGAGGAGACCCTGGAGCTGGGATCTGCTCCAGCCTGCTCAGCACACAGCCTGCATCACCCACCTCTGCCTCAGGTGAGACCCCGACCAGCACGTGTGTTTTGCACAGCTGCAGCATTAGCTGGTGGAGCTGGGAGGTTCCCAAAGGCTTTAGGAGAGGCCATGTCAGAGCCTTATGCCATCAGTGCAAAAAGTGACACCACGTCACTCCACAGGCTGAGAAAGTTGGGGCTGTTCTGCCTGAAGGTTGGATGGGGCTCTGAGCAGCCTGGGCTGCTGGAAGGTGTCCATGGCCGTGGCAGGGGGATGGAATGAAGTGGTCCTTAAGGTCTCTTCCAATTATTCTATGATTGTAGGTATGGCAGCTCACTGCTGATTGAGTCTCTACCAGTTATGTACCAGCATGGTGGTGCCTCTGTGCTAGTTCTGGAGACAGATTTGCAACGAGTTCTGGAGACAAGATTTCCTTGTTTATGTCCTAGCACAAGCCAGCAAGGAATTCTGAATAGGACTTCATAAGGACAACTGAGCAGGGCATTCTTCCATAACAGCTGTTTGACACTGGTCCTGCTGCTGTGAAGGACATGAGGAGTGTTATGCTGGTTCTGATGTTCTCTGTGGCAGATAACACTCCCATATTCTGGTTTAGATTGAAACATTCTGGTTTAAGTCAGTAGGGTGTGCTGTTCAACCAGTTTTCTACCCGAGCTCTGTTAAAAGCTTGATGGCAATGAGAGAGGATTTGTCTAATTGTTTATTGATGTGTGCAGTCCAAGAGCATTCCCTGGAGTGAGAGTATTCCTTAAAGCGTTTCCTGGATATGTTTGTGTTTCCAAGTTGGCACAATATGAGAAGATCTCCAAAGTGATGAGGACTCCACTGCTTCCTTAGGGATGGATATCCCAAGCAGTGGATGTGCTGACATGTGGTACTTCTATGTGTGTTTTCCTGCTTCCCAGTGTAATTAATTCATTGGAATTTCATGCCATTATGACTGTCCTCTCGTTGTATTCTAAATATATCAGCATTAAGGCCAGTTCCTGCAACTCATTTTCTAAGAATTACTCAAATTGTTTAATAGTGCTTTTACCTTAAAGATATTTTGGTGTGGTGAAAACCACCTGTAAGGCTTAGAATGCTTCATGTGTTGCTAAAAGTATGTAATTGAGATACTTTCTTTATAACCTAATCTGGTACTTCTGTTGTTTAAATTTGCCTGTCATCCTCTCAGGACAAGGACTCCTTTAGTCAGTCCAATGACCTTTTTAACTGTAATTCAGTCAGTTCCAGTTTTTCCACTTCTTGCAACAGACTAAGTATGGTCAAAGTGTTTGAGTAATTCACTGCTTTCAGAGTGATGAAGTGAAGTCTGTTGAGCCTTCTTTTTTTGGATAGAAACCAAGATTTTGCGAAACAATTAAAGGAAACAAACCAAATATCCTCTGATTTTCATGTCTTAGAAACCTCTCCCAATTCCTAAAGTACTTCTGCTGACACACTGATTAGTCAGGAGAGAATATCAGGGAATCAAAGAATGATTTGGGTTGGGAGGGACCTTAAATATCATCTCATTGCATCCCTCCTGCCATGGGCAGGGACACCTTCCACTATCCCGGGTTGCTCAGAGCCCCATCCAGCCTGGCCTGGAACACTGCCAGGGATGGGGCAGCCACAGCTTCTCTGGGAAACCTGTGCCAGGAACTCACAGGGAAGATTTTCCTTCTAATATCCATCCTAAACCTACTCTCTCTCAGCATGAAGCTATTTGCCCTGTTAGATAATGTCTGTCAGAGAAATGGTTTAATTCAGGGACATGATCTCGTCCTCTGCTTGCATTGATCCCTTTCTGGGCGATCTGCACACTGGGATGCAGCTCTCCATGTGGAAAACACAAGCAATTCTTTCTGATAGGAAAGAAAGGTCTCATCTGAATTCTTGGTGCAATGTGTAAGGAAGAAAAAGGGCAAGTGTCCTCTCTGAGAGAAAAGACTGATATTACTTGTAGAGACTCCTTGTAGAAGAGAGATCTGCATGGCACAATCACCTGGAAAGCTCCAGTTGCAGTTTTGCCTTACTAGGTGCAAGATAACACAGCTGTGGAGAATGAAACTCACTTTTTTGTTGTTGTTTACCATTGCAAAGTCAGACTTCTTCTCCTTAAAAATGAAAGCAAAAAATTAAAAAGAAGGAGAATGAAAGTCGATGTAACTTGAATCTGTTCAGTATCCTTGTTCAGGAAAAAAAGCTTGCCTAGAAATAGGGCCACCATGGACTGCCTGCTTTCTTTATTAGAGTGTCTCAGAAGATGAAGGAGCCAAAACTTGGATAGGATAAAATCCAAATTAACAGGAGCAAAACAAAAGAGGAAACAGATGAATGAAAAAGGTTATCAATATACAAGGAAAAACCAATTGCTTAATAGTGTCTCTTGTGAAAACAGCTCATGGATGGTTTCAGCAAAAGCCTCTGATTTCTGCATCGTGGTGCAGTTGGGCCCACAGAGTGTGACCTGCTGGAGTGGCTGTTCAGGTTCTTTACTTTTTAACTACTTTCAGCAGGACAAGAACATTACTTAAGTGCATGGGAACATTGCAGAGTGTTCAGTGCTGCAATTTCCATTGTTTATCCTTGCTCTATCCAGTACTTCTGACTGTTGGTATGTGGGTTTTTTTTTTTTTNGTGTGGTTTTTTTTTTTTTTTTTTTAATGTCCAACTGTTTTTACCAGTTCTCCAAATAAGCTGATTTAAAATATCAGTGAGTTGTATTTGAGATGAGTGTTACCCTGCTGGCAGTTACAGCTTCTGATTTGTATATAGTAGCCACACTACTTGCCATAAGAGCCTTTTGTGACTCAAAACTTCAATTTTCAACTTGCTTTGATCTTAGAAATATTTTGTTGGTTTTTTTTTTTTTTTTTTCACTTTTGCTAGACAGCATGATTGAAATTAATGGCATTCTTTTAGACAGTGGCAATTTGAAGCTTGGTCTTCTGAGATTTCTTACTGATACAGACATATGTATCTGTGATTCATTGGCTTATGTTTTCTTTAGAATTAACCCATTAGAAAGAAAAGTTCCTTTCTGTGCCTCTGGTTTGTGGGAGGAAATTTTTCTGCCCCACAGGTACTTTTGCAGGAAATCCTTTGTTTCATGTGTTTGCCTTGCTGAAGACACCTGTCAGGAGCCCAGCCTGTGCAGGTAACTCTTAAGCAAATAGCAAGATGATTAAATTCACTGGCAGAGATGGGATTGTAATGGAAATCTTGGGATCAATTGGATGAAGCTGGATATGGCCTGTCAAAGAACAGTAAATAAATCACAAGCTCCAATGGCTTCACTTACAGGACTCCAGCTTTCAAACAAATTTTGAAAAAAAATATTTTCTCATAATTTCAAGACAAGGATGAATCTATCAAAAGCTTTGTGATGGCCCTTGATTCCCATAAAGGCTGGAAACAGAATAACCATTCTAGAGTTAAGTCAATTGTAGTGCCAGGACTTGTTCAGAGATCTGAAGGTGAAAATGATTAAATTGCTCTCCGGAAATTCCCAAGGTTGTCTCATGGACCGAGAACCCAGAAGTAACGGAAACAAGAAATAAAAATCCTACTATTACATTCCCATGTTCACTGGAAAGCCTTCTGAGGTTCTCTCACTACATCAGCATCAGGAAGAGCCACAGAATTGTACAGTGTAAACATTATGTGAAGCCAGGGGTCAGAATTCTTCATGGAACAACTCTGCAATCTTCTGTAGATTTGTCAGATTCAGCAGATATGACTTCTCTGGGAATTGCTTCTTCTTACTGCATTTGTGACTTTATTTAGAAGACAAAATGTCAGTGTCTCTTTGAAAGGACAGAGAAGCAGAGGAGCCTTTAGAAAAGGCTGAACCAGCTGTTTGGAGATCAAGGGTGTCTCACTGCCTGGGAATCCTATTGCCATGATCCACAAAGATTACCTGCTCTCAGTGATGAAAATATTAAAAAAAAAATTTAAATTATTCTCAGTAGGTATGGAAGTGGGTTTAGAAGTGATTTTCTGGGCTGCTTGTGTTCATCCTGAGGAAGAGCAGAGCCATCTGCAGAAGAGCTGTCGTTACTGAACTGGAGCTTTACCTGGATATAGACTGCTTTTCAGGTAAGTTGTGCTCCCCATGGCTGCTGTTCCATAACGTTTGTGTGAACATTTTGGGGCACAGTGGTCAGGACAACCAGTGCTAAAGAAGGGTTTTAAAAAATCAGAAGAGATCTTCAGTTTCATTTCTGGCTAAGCCAAAACTCAGGAATGCAACAGGTACATCTGAGATGCTGCCTGGCATGGATAAATGCTGTGTTCAAACAGAAAAAATAAATCACTGAGAACTGCCTGGGCATGTGAATGCTTTAGACATGCCATCCTAGATTTTGCTTCAGTTTTCTAAGTGAGCCCAAAATCAGGGCTATTGAAAACTTGGAAAGTTTTCATTGAAACATTTGATTCCTTCTCTCCATGGCTGCAGAGAGTTGGAAAAAACTAGAATGTGGGAAGGTGCAATAAAAGGCACAAAACTGCCCAGCACATTGGGCAATCGGAGAAACAGTGCTGCAAGATGTTGAAGTGGAAACTCCTCATCAGCTCTCTGGACATGCATTCCAAAATTCTCAAAAGGTGGCTAATACTTGTTGTGGCATCTTTATGTTTAGGTTTGTGTTTAAGGCCTTTGAGTCGCACCTGGTGGACTGCATTTGCTGTTACTCTCTATGCCTGCAGGGATGAAGTGCAGCCACAGACTTTACCTGAAAGCTTTGCCATGTGTGGGAGAGCTTCACCTGAGCAGCTGGGTGATATTTCTCTTCTCTTCCTCATCCTTTAGCTGGTTCAGCCTAGCTAGACTTTAGAAATTGCAGCTTCCTGCACACGTGATGGTTGCATTTGTGAAGAGAGAAACCATTTGCTAATTGCCATAATAAGAGAGAGCCTCATTTTCTTGCACTATGCCCAAGCTTCCCGAGCTTCGTGTATAATTGTTACTCTGGATCACCAGCATACCTGATTCTGATCTTTAATTTCCTCTATGTGTCTTTCCACAGAGGCTGTTCTGTAGGAAACTGTTCCTCTCTCCTTTTCCAGCAGTGACGAGGAGACAGGTCACCAAACAAGATTCTTCTACCAACCAAAAGGTGTTGGTTTCCTTTCCCATCTCCCATTTTCTTTTTCCCAAGGACCTTCAGCTGCCATCTCTGCATTTTTAATTTTTGTTTTTGGCATGACTCATCAGAGGCCAAACTGGAGTAAAGATGTGTTTCAAAACAGCCTAGACAGTGGATTTGTAAAGGCACAGCTTTGTTTCTTTCGAAGCACAGTTCATTTTTTCTAAAGGGTGATCTGTGCTGCACACTCCTCCCAGAGGACAGTAGAAATGGAAGATGACTGGGGGATTGTTCCTGGCTCTTTTCCAAGAAGTACTTTGCCTCATTTGGCTGCCTTCTTGAGAGCTGGATAAAGATAGTATGCAGAGCCTGAAATCACAAAGGTAATTTTATTTAACCAATAAACATCCTGTGTTCCAGAGAGCTTGCTACTACTCCCTTTTGTTTCACAGCAGCAGCGCTGGTACTCATTTACTTTTATTCCCATCAATAACCTCCACTCTTTCACTGGCATATTGCTTTTCTGTCCTGCTCCTCTTGTCATTCACTCTGCTTGCTCCTGCAGATTCCCAGTGTGACAGCACAGTGTGACAGTCTCTGTTTTATTCACAGCCTCCTCGGTGGCAGGAGTGGTGGCACCCTGTGAAACGCAAGCTCAGAGCAAGGCGCTGCCGCAGCTGCACTTCAATCCCAGCGGCACAGCGGAGTGCTTCCCTCATCTTCCCAGCCCTCCTCCCATCCGCAGGGCCAGCCTGGCGCTCGGCCTGGCCTTCGACCCCGACAGCCACATTGTCCCCCTGATGCTGGACACGCCCGGCAGGGAATGCAGCTTGGCCAGCCAGGAGAATGGCTTCAGGGATGCCTTCTCTTACGGCGTCCAGAACCAAGGGTAGGGGCAGATGCGAGTGTCTTTGAGAGAGATGAAAAAAGCAGCCCCTGGGAGAAGCCTTAGGAGGGTGAATGTGGGACAGGGGATGAGGAATTAGATGGGAGCGTTAATGAAAAGGGAGAGGCAGATGTGACAAGAGCCTTTAAAGGGAGTATGAAAAGCTGTATAATGTGCATAATATAGGACAGGGTGCTTGCTATGAGACAGGTGCTACCTGTACTCTGAGTGTTCTCAGAATTGCATGCCTGCCAAGTGAAAGTGAGGGTGAAAGTTTGGGCGTGCTTTGGAGAGTGGGAAAATAATCCCCACTAACACCCATTGTTCAAGAATCCTGCTGTGAAAGCACAAGTGGCTTTTGCTGTCATTATCCTGTGCCTGGCATTTGGGAGAAAGGGTTGATAATAAAACAGTTGTTAATGGGACAGGTTGGTGTAGCTGTTGACCCTCCTTTAATCTCTGGGCTGCCTCTCTCCTTGCTCCCTGCAGCTTCAGTTCACCAGTTTCCTGCCCTTACCCGGAGCAGCTGGAGCCTGCAGACAACCTGGAGGACACCTACTGTCAGTTCAGCAGCCAGGGGGGAATCTATCAGCTCTCCCAGTTGTGTCACCAAGGTCACCTGGCCAGCAATATGTTGTCCAGTGACCACCTTCCTCCTTCAACACTCCTGGAATCCCATCCAGCTTTCCCCGATTTACCTGGCAACAGTGGAGCCATAACCTATGGAGCCACACAAGGCTATGTACAAAACCACACGGAGGAACCAGTCATGCCACAGCAGCCAGGTGGCAATTCAGGTAAATTTCGGAATTATTTTGGCACCTTGCTCCTCAGGAGGAACTAAACAATACCCTGAAACATTCAGCATGATCAGTGGGTTCACTGATGGCTGTGACAGAAAGAAGGAATGGTCCACATGCTTACACAAATCTATAGATGTGCCCATCTTTTTCTCACTTAATTTCCTTGTATGCTTATTTTTTTTGTTTTTAAGTACTGAGTAACCCATTCATTTGAATCAAAAGTTACTACCCAGACTGCACATGTCAGAAAGAGCATAAAATGTGAATGTGTCAGATAGTGCAGAGGTTTTGACTGGACTGGAGACGTAACTTTTGTTTTCCAGGAGTGTCCTGTTGTGTACACAAACATCCCTTTGTTGCATGTGGTGGGAGTCAAGGGTGCAAAGTGGAAAAGGTGCCACAGCAGATGGCATAGTTGGAGGTGGTGAGGAAGAACAGTCTTCTCTGTTTGGCTTCTGCAGAAACCAGTTTGAAATCATGTTATATATCTTAGGGTAGTGCAAAAGAAGAGAGAGACATAACAAAGTATGAACATAGATTCTTCCTCTGACTTGAATTTGCAGCAGCACTGAGATGAAGGCACTCTAACATAATTTTCTGGAAAAAAAACCTAGGTAAAAATGGCATTGTTGATCTCCTTGTTTTGTGTCTGGGCTTTGTATTTTGAAGTTATTCAAGCCCAACTATAATCAAATGACAAACTGTTGTAGTTAATTCATTTGGACTGACAGGTTTGTTGAATTAAGGTCACGCTCCAAAAGCTCCATCCCTTGTCTTATGACATGAAGGAACAAAGAGTTTTAGCCCACAGATGCTGCTGCTGTTTTTGTACCAGTTCTGTGGACCTTGTCAGGGAGGGAAGTCTGACTCAGTCTGACTCACATCAGGCTGCAAGCTGGCTCCTGTCCCCACTCTTCAGAGCTGACATTGTTCAGGTTGGCAGCACCCATGCTACCTAACACCCTTGGCCCTGCTGCCTGCTCTGATTCCAAGCTATAATTATTATTTTCTGTGGTTTTTCAGTCTGAAGTGCCAGAAATAATGAGAGAGCTGTGCCCCAGACTGCATATAATGAAATGCATTTCTAGCTTGATGCCCAAGTGTGTGTTGCATTCCTTGGGGCATGTTGCATGAGCATCAAGGGGTGTGTAAAGGTGCAAGCTGGTGAAGTTGGAAGATTGTCAAAGGAACAGAGGCAGAGTTTATATTCTCTTACTCCATACTATCGTCCAGAACAAAATCAGCAGTGAATGGCTTTTCTGTTATGCCATGGGGATGACCAAATTCACAGAATCATAGAATCCTAAGAATGGCTTGGTTTGGAAGGGACCTTAAGACTCATCCAGTTCCATCCCCCAGGGACACCTTCCACTATCCCAGGTTGCTCAGAGCCCCATCCAACCTGGCCTTGAACACTTCCAGGAGTGAGAAAGCCACAACTCCTCTAGGTTCCAGTGCCTTACCACCCTCACAAGGGAAGAATTTCTTCCTGAAAAGGTTCCAGGATTCCCAAAGTGCAGGGCTGGAAACCAGCTTATTAGTGCAGACACACCTGTGAGTCTTATATCAGCACATAAGCAAGTGAGCAGCTTATTTGAATTATGGATATTAATGAACAAAACATTCCTGGTTTACAGCTTTTATAAATGAAAGTGAAGATTAAGTATCCATCTTATGCCTGGCAGAGCTAACTTGGAAAATGTGACTGGAAAAAAAAACCTGGGGGGTGTCTCTACTATCATTACATACACTCAGCATCAGTGCTGAGTGGCATGGATTTTTTTTTTTTATTATAACAATGCTATTAACTTTGTAAGCTTTTCTTCCTAAGAACCATGTTTTGGTTGAATACACTGCAGTGTAAAGAGCAAAGTGATCCTTGCTCTGTGTGTGGTGTCTACTGCATGGCAGTGCTGGGTTTGCACTGAGTAAAGCACAACACACACACCTTGTACATAGACATTCTTCCATTATTTTCATTATTCTTCTTTTCTTGGTGGCTTTTCCCTCAGCAGACATCCCTGCCTATCCAGATGTGCCCTGGAGTGATTTCTATATGCAGGGAGCAACTTTCTCCAACCAGATGCATTCCCAAATGCCTTTTTCTAGCATGGCAGGAGGGCAGTACTTCACAGAGCCATATCTCCTTCAAGTGGCCAACGGGACAGTGCTGGAATCCATGCCACAGACTGGAAAACAAAAGAGAGTGACACCACCAGAGCAAAGTTCCTACCAGAGCTACCAAACAGAGCCGGAGTTGGGAGCACTTGCTGAAAAAGAGGACTTTGAGAGCAGCAGCAAGAAAGGAGACACTACTGTTGGTAACCAGCTAAATGTTTTCTTGGAGGAGGAGGAGGGGAAAGAGTTGTAAGACAGCAGTAGCTCCCCTGAATGAAGGATGAAAAATGTGGGGTATGGTTTTTTGTGAGCTGTTGCCTGAGGCAGTTCCCTAGCTCTTAGATCCATCTGGTTTTTGAAATGGGGACAGAAAAGTCAGCAAAATAGGTGGTAAAGTTCTGTATTTTCTCCAGCATCGTCTGTTGTGAGCTGTATGGCTACACAGAACTGATTATTTCTAAGACTTCCAGAGGCATGAACACTTCTCTTCGAGGCAAATCTTAACCAAGAAGGGAGAAGGGGAAGGGAGGGTTTTTTGTTTAGATTCTCAGGCTTTTAACTTGGAAACAGAATTACCTTACTCTGTTTTGAAAGGTGAAAGTTGAATTACCTTATTTTGAAAGGTGAATTGTTGAAAGTTGTCATATGACATAAATATTCTTTGAAAGGGTGTCTTTGTTGGGGGTGCATGTCTAATTTTGAGATAGAAAACATCTGAAAAATTCAAGCTATTTTGTGTCACATTTTCTTATGAATCTGGGGTTGTTTTACAGAAATTCAAGAAGAAATTAATGACTAATGCTGCACTCTGAGAAAAAAAGGAAGAGGAAAAATGGAAAAATTGCTATTTTAAACTCTGCAAAAGAAGAGTCAAAAAGAGACAAGGATAATATTATTTGCAACAGATGCAATTTTTTTGTTTTTGGGGGTTTTTTTTTTGGTTTTTTTTTGTTTTTTTTTTTTTTTTTTTT